AGCAAGAGCTGCTTGGGAGCCGGGCGCGGTGGCTCAAGCCTGTAATCCCAGCACTTTGGGAGGCCGAGGCGGGTGGATCACGAGGTCAAGAGATCGAGACCATCCTGGTCAACATGGTGAAACCCCCGTCTCCACTAAAAATACAAAAAATTAGCTGGGCATGGTGGTGCGTGCCTGTAATCCCAGCTACTCAGGAGGCTGAGGCAGGAGAATTGCCTGAACCCAGGAGACGGAGGTTGCGGTGAGCCGAGATCGCGCCATTGCACTCCAGCCTGGGTAACAAGAGTGAAACTCTGTCTCAAAAAAAAAAAAAAAAAAGAGAGAGCTGCTTGGGGCAAATAATCCTGGTCCTTCTGTTGTCCAATTAACCAAACTCCTCCCACTCTGAGCTGACCAGTCTTTAAAACATAACACCTAAATATAAGGAGCTACAGACCCTTGCTTTAAGGGATCCTCTGCCACACACTTAACAGTCGCTCAACCAGGGATGAGTAGGATGAGTACTTACGCGACTGACTACCAACTATACTAGACGCCGTAGGGCACATATCATGTGGCTCTTCTGGATAACGGTGATTACAAGTATGGTTTCAGAGTCATATAAAGATGAGTATCATTGAGTTATATGGATTTAGAACTTTCCCTGGCCTCTCTTAAATCCCATTTTATTAATTTGGTCTTAAAACACAGATATAGGCCTTCATATACTCCCTTTTTAGCTACTGAATTAGCATCTTATGTGGTCTTACTTTTTTCTGTTATTTTATTTACACATGTATAATTCCTTCACTGATTTCTAAAGCCCCACCATGCACTGTACTGTATCAAGATTCAACATTACTCTTTATTTGTTCCTTATTCCATCTATGCACTTTTTGATTGTTCACAAGTCGAAATATTTATATTCATTCATGCATGCATATATTCAGTCATTTATATATTGTTCAGTTTGTATACCCCACCTCATTCTCAAAATGATCAGGTAGCCTACAATGAAAACATGGAACATAAATTAACAGCAAAATAGAAATAAAGAGAAAATAAGGAAAGGAAAGTAAGAAAGACGAGCAGATAAAGAACAGGAAACACAGAAGTACACACGGGGAGACCATTAAAGGTTACATAAAGGCTCCATTTGGGTATTCATCTTGACTCTGTGCTTCCTGGAAGCCAAACTGCAAACAAAAACAAAAGTACAGGGAAGGTTTTTGGACCATTTGAGGAAAGCTCAGTTAAGAATTTTACGGCCTGTGAAAGTCTATGTTCCAAAAGTTACTTAATGAAACAATTCTAGCCAGGTGCTGTGGCTCACATCTGTAATCCGAATACTTTGGGAGGCCGAGGTGGGAGGACTGCTTGAGTCCAGGCATTCAAAATCAGTCTGGGCAACATCGCGAGACCTGCCTCTACTAAAACTAAAAATAAAAATTAGCCCAGTGTGGTAAGCATGTGCCTGGAGTCCTAGCTACTCAGGAGGCTGAGGCAGGAGGATCACTTGAACCCAGGAAGTCAAGGGTGCCGTGAGCCAAGATTGCACAACTGCACTCCAGCCTGGGTGGCACACAGAGACCCTCTCTCAAAAAAATAGTAATAATTCTAAGACTACAAAATATCTTTTACATTGTAACAACTTTAAAAAAGCCTCCAGGCATTGGGTGGTGGGTAAGCTAAGGTTTTTCAAATTTACATAAAAATCACTGATAACTGAGAATGTATTTTTAGCTACCAATTCCTTACCATTTCATCAGCCAAAATGCCATTGACTCCATTTTCATATAAAGAGATCAACCAGTTCAGTCCTCGAATCTGATAATCTCTCAGTGGCCCCCCTTTCACATCTGGGGAAAAAAATGCAAGGATGTTTTACACTTTCATTAATACACTCACGTAAAATTTTTCTAAAAGTAAATTGAAAAAGAACTCACCAATGTGATGAAGTACTTACATGAAGGTGACACCTCAAACCTAATACACACATTAGATGTTTTCCGACTCTCCGACAGTAGCTCTTCATCTTCTTCTTGCTCTGTGCGCCTGTGGCGGTAGCTGAAATAAAATAAAGAAATCCCTTCACATTCTACCCAAACACGGAGGTATCAATTAAATCAGTGTACATGGCTATTATCTTTTATAGAAAAAGAATGAGCGGCTCACGCCTGTAATCCCAGCACTTTGGGAGGCCAAGGCGTGCAGATCACAAGATCAAGAAATCGAGACCATCCTGGCCAGCATGGTGAAACCCCATCTCTACTAAAAATACAAAAAATTAGCTGTGTGTGGTAGTGCACGCCTGTAGTCCCAGCTACTCAGGAGGCTGAAGGCAGGGGAATCACTTGAAACCAGGAGGTGGAGGTTGCAATGAGCTGAAATTGTACCACTCCACTCCAGCCTGGTAACAGAGCAAGACTCCGTCTCCAAAAAAAAAAAAAAAAGAATGAGTTGTCCAAGGTCTTACTTAGAAATCAGTTGAACCAGCCTACATTTGTACGATCAGCTTCTAGTGAGAAAAAAATATAGTTGCCTTCAAAACATAATTATAATGGCAATAATCTTATCTTTCATCACATGAAGTTATACTGAACAATGAAGAGGGAAGGAGTGCAAGGGAGGACAGGAGGAAGAAAAGGCAGGAGAAAGGGAAGAAAGTAGAGAGAGAGGTGCCAACATACTCTCCAGCAGAAATTAAGCTCTGCTTTTCATCTTTCTTTATTCGAGGACGTCCTAATTTCATGTTCAGTGGAGATGTTGGAGATTTCTGTGCTGAAGGCTGAATGAAATGTGCAAATAGTTCTGTCTGCTTCAGTAAAAATTCAAATCTCTTTGCTCGGTTGGCTTTCTAATTTGCAAAACAAAAGAAAAAGTAAGGACTTTCCTTTGTACTCCTTCAAAGTTACTTAACAAATACTTGCATTGCATTTACTGTGAACAACATTCTTAGCACTTGAAACATAATCCATTAAATTCTCTTTAAAAACCTATAACATAGTTACAAGTATCATCTCCACGGTAATTACATGATACTGAGGCACAGAGAGGGTAAGTAATTTACCCAAGGTTGCACAGCTAATAAGCAGAGGAATTTAAAAATGTATTTTCAAATAATTTGAACAGAAGCCAAATGATCTGACGGGCTGTAAATTCCCCAATAAGAAATACCCTTCTTCTTCTTTTTTTTTTTTTTTCCTTTTTTATTTTTCTCACCAGCACCCAAGAAAAAGGAGAAATACCCTTCTTAAAGAGTCATAATCATAAACCAAATCTTCTTTCCAAACCATTTTTTAATTTTGTTAAATACTAACAAATTTAAGCATCAAATATACAACATATCCCAAATACTGAAATAAAAATTAACTCTGATATACATACCATAAACAGAACTCTTAAGAATTTTCAAGTTATATCCAGAAATAACTTAAATTTTTAAATACAATATCATCTTGTCTTAAAATATTTTCAATGTCATGGTATAATAATGTAATAAACATTCCGCTCTTCAATCACAGGGATCTAGAGAACTATAATTTATGCTAGTAGCATATGAAGTTTCTCCCCAAAGTAAGCAGAATTTGGGAAAAATATATAAATATACACACATATACACAAAATAGTTAATATATATTAACTATTAAAAGTTGATGTGTATTCTAATTTCTCAATAAACTGTAAAAGGTCATGGAACGTGTACCATATACAGGTAATAAAACTTTGTTTCACTAAAAAATCCTAAAAGATCAAAAGATATATACATCATTCTAGATAAAAGAAAAATAAAGACTATTTATTTATTCAAAGTCACTTTCCAATCACAGAGTAGAGAATACCTGATTGCTAACGAAGGATGCATAATTAATAACCCAAAAAATATACAGAAGAGTTCATTAACATAAATATAAGTTAGATAAATTCAGACCACAAGCTGGAAGGAGGCCAAAAACTTTCCATTTTATGTTATCCTCACTGGAATGTTATTTTTAGAGTTGTTAAAACATTGCCTATATACATTAGATGTGGCCTTAAACATTAAGGCATGGAGTCTTATAAAATAGCTATCCACAACCAAAAAATGTATTTCATCTCTACTTATTTTTATAATATTACTGTAAAAACAACCCCTCAGAGAAAAAAAAAAATTTCAACCACCTGTTAAATTCTTGAAAGATCCAAAGCTATAAGAGTTTAGTTAAAATTAAAGCTAAAATATGGATTTTAGTGACTAGAAATTAAATAATTTAATGTATTATAGCAAGCAATATATGAATATAACTAAGATTATGCTGCTTCATTATGTGATATTTTCATTCACTGGACAAATATTCTTCCCTCAAGAAAGTGTACTGATATATTACATGTTTCATTAACGTATAGCATTTATTCGTATGTCCAAAGAAGGAGAAAGAAAGATATGTCAGTCTGGCTTTGTGATTGGATTTCTCTTATGTCACAAAGCCACAACGGTATTGCCACTGATATTTTCATCTAGTAAATAAAATATTTCTATCTTAAAGCACTTTATTATGGAATAGACAGCACTGAACAAAAATGAGATGTGACTTCTAGTCCCAACTATTACATATAGCTTCCCAGACCCTTTATTTCCTCATCTGAAAATGAGCAGGTTAATTTATTCAACAAAAATATTATGATATATTGTATATTAAATTACTTTCCAATTCTAAAATCGATGATTCTCCATGCATTGTATATACACATGTATTTTTCACCTTTAACATCTCAACTATCAAAATTAACTACAGAATTCACTGTCCTATCCAAAAGTACATTTACCATTTTCTCTTCATATTCTGGGTCCATTTCCTTTTCAGATTTAGGCGCTTTAGCAGCAAGTTTGAGTTGAAAAGAAGAAACGTTTTTCTAGAATTTCAAAGAAAATAAATGTCATCAAATTGCAAAACAAGGTTCTTAAATTGGTCAATGCTCTCGTTAGAAGAAGACGAAAAGTAATTACATGACTAAATATATAAATCAATGTGGGACATGCATGGACCGATGATGAGAGAGCATGTCACGAAGCAAGGCTTATGATTAATCCAGTTCTGTACACCTGAGGTCCAATAAAAAAAAAATTCTGAAAAATCATGACTGCCAGAGAAATATTAGTTGGAATAAAACCCAAAAGGTGAAACACTGAGCTTTCTCATCCACTCTTTAATTTATATAGTGTAAGAAAATGTGCAAAATTAAATAAAATATTTTAAAATCTAGAATAACCACAAACAAAAGAATTCAAAAAAAAAATTAATTCTCAGAAACACTCCTTTATGTCATGGAAATAGGCCACACTTTCAGAAGAAAAACTGTGGTTTCTGTTCCTAAAACAATACTTTTCAAATTGTTTTCATAGTATAAGAATATTTAATTTTTTATGTAATGCAATGTGATCACATATACTTAAAATAATTTAATAGTAGTTTTAAACTTTTAGCTTATGTTAATTTTCTCTAACTGGAAAGAAAATTACTTTATATTGCATAAATATTCTGTAGAAGTAACTTGTCAAGGCTATTAACTATTAATGTTTGGTATTTTTAAACCGTGATTTAGCAAAAACTAACATCAATCAGTAACTTAATACAGAAATTACCTGGGGAAAGGGTTTATCTCATGCACCCTATCCTTTGTAAAGACAAGCTTGTACCGGCAAATATAAATACATATATAGAATAAGCCTCTTTCCCTATAAGTAACCAAGAAATAAAATAATAAAAACACAAATCTACCCATCAGAACCGAAGACTATCTCATTTTTAACACAGATGACTTTGCATAAGTGAATACACAAATTTGTTTGTGAAAACTATCATGGCTTTTGTCAACCAGTTTCTGAAAACTTGGGTCAAAAATCAACAGAATGTGACCTTAAACATAAGAAAAATATGGCCCCTTTATGTCTTCCGACATCTACTAAAATTTCTATTTTGAGGAAATCCAAACTGAGATTATGAAATTTGACCTTGTCCAGACTCTTACTTTGTAGCACTGACCAGATATCTTGATTTACAGCATCTGATACGTACATATCTATGTGGAATGCTTTGAATGTAATCCCGGATGGATGAGATAGAAAACTGCTAAATCTCCCCTCAAACTCACACTTTGAAGCTGCCATGTATAACATAAATCATATTTACTTTCTAAGCAACAAGAAATATTGAGTATCAAAATCCGTATCTTTATCTTTCATTCCTTGAAAGGCTATATGAAATCCAGTTTTCCGGTTTCAAAACACTGAAAATTACTTTGCCTTATATTCATAAGCATATATAATAATGTGGGAAGTACACTTACAGAAAATTAAAGCTTTAATCCTAGAAAAACATTTTACTCATTACTTTTTTGCTTACCTTGCGGTAGACTACCATCAAAATCTAATTATATGCTAATTAAAATTCCTAATCTTGAGCAGTGCTATTAAAAGCTGTGGGTACTTAATTGGCACTATCTTCCACAACAAATTTTAAAATACCTACCTTCTAAACCTCATTTGTTTATGTGTGTGTGTATGTGTATTCTCAAAACTATATTTTTCCATACAAGTAAAGATCAAGGGTGACTAAGACACTCTAATGAATTCCTTTGGATTTTGTTATCTGAGTCTGGGTGCCATGAGAACGCAGCACAAGGTCAGCAAAATGGCTTATTTTAAAGACCATGACATTTTTCTTGACGTTTTTATTCCCAAAGATACCATCTCCAATTTCTAGTGTTGGGTAATCCAACCGTCACTTAAACCAAGTAAGCTCAACAACCAGTAGGCAGGCAGAAATACCTCTGAGTAGGTGAATGTCATAGGTGAATTCACTAAATCTCATCTACTGTATACAACATGAAAGCACTCTCGTTCAGAAACCTATTTTTTTTTTAATTTGGTAGACAATTCTACCAAGTTTAATAAACTGGCTTCCCATGTCACCGAGAATACAAGCAACAGTAAATGACATGGGAAAGATCACTAGAGGAAGGCGCTCTACAAGAAGCCACAGCAGAAACCCAGAACAAAAATGTGTCTTCCACTGCAGTAGCTTCCCTGATCCTTGGTGTGCACGTGTTATTTCCCTCTCCCTTCTTTATCGCTTTATCACTGACACTTTTGTATTTTACAGTTATTTTTAAATGAGTTTATGGTTTTGTTACGCTTACATTCTTTATCATAAACTAACATATTCTTTCTGGTGAAACCAGAAACAGTGATAGCTGGCCAGGCTCGGTGGCTCACGCCTGTAATCTCAGCACATTGGGAGGCCGAGGTAGGCAGATCACGAGGTCAGGAGTTTGAGAGCAGACTGGCCAATATGGTGAAAACCTGTCTCTACTAAAAATACAAAAATTAGCTGGGCATGGTGGCAGGCTCTTGGAAACCCAACTACTCAGGAGGCTGAGGAAAGAAAATCGCTTGCACTCAAGAGGCAGAGGTTGCAGTGAGCTGAGATCGCGCCACTGCACTCCAGCCAGCCTGGGTAACAGAGCAAGACTCCATCTCAAAAAAATAAATAATTTTTTTCTACCTTCTGGGTTCAAGCAATTCTCCTGCCTCAGCCTCCCGAGTAGCTGGGATTATTGGCACCCACTACCATGCCCAGCTATTTTTTTTTTTTTGTATTTTTAGTAGAGACGGTGTTTCAGTGTTTCACCATGTTTGCCAGGCTGGTTTTGAACTCCTGACCTGAAGTGATCCACCCGCCTTGGCCTCCCAAAGTGCTGGCATTACAGGTGTGAGCCACTGCGCCCAGCCAGATAAATTATGTTAAAACATAAACACAATACTGGAAGAGTCTGGGAGGTGGTTACTTAACTGAGAAGGAACAACCTGTGGGATTTCAAGTGCCTTTGTGTCACTGTCCAGAGTGCACTAACTGATGGCCATGAAGAAGCGGTTAATCTGCACTTTTAGTACACAATTTAAAGTGCCAAGGTAGTATATAATCCAATTTTTAAGGAAAAATTAAAAATAAAAATGATGCAGTGGCTAAAACAAACTTCAGATATCCAGGAAGTTCCTGACATACAGCACCACATTTCCCTATCCTGGGTGGACAAATGAAGGACTGGCAGGGCAATTTCTGATGAGGCAACAGAGCTGACAAATATATAGGTACCAACTCAGTGTTTATTATATGGGTTATTTTATTGGTCCCTCGTTTTTTCACCATTCAAAATTTTATACAAAATTCAGAAATTCATACAATCTGGAAACTCGACAACCTTTCCTGCCATACAAAAGGCAGTTTGGCACTCACATTTGCCTAGTCTAGGGAATAAAAGGCACATAGACGTTTCCGAATTTCCCAACATTTGATTCATATTGATGCTTGGTATTATGCCCAGTTTTAATCAACAATATTGTCTTACTAATCCAAGTACCGCGTAGATCTTACAATGCGTATGTTTTCTACGGTTTTCATTTAGCACTACAATTGTCCTTCTGTTTAGTCAACCTTGTAGCAATAAAATATGTCACATAAGCAACTGCTAAATTTAAAATTGCTCTTCTCATTTAGGCGAAAGGTGTTAATTTTCCTCAAAAGCTTTTCATTTGGTCATATAGTATAATATAATGATTCAGACAAAGCCACTTGAAATCTCTAAAGCATAATTGCCCACCTTTTTAAAATTGCGATGACTACTCGTAAATGAGAAAAAAATCCACCCATAAACGATTAGTTACGCAATTTTATCATACATCCTATTTTTATGTCAATTTTTCAGTGTTTTATAGTTTTATTTGCATGTCTCAGTCCACACGAAATATGCCTTATGGAGATCATACACATTTTCTGGATTGGCTTTAATAGGTGTCAGAGCAGTTCCCTTACGTTAGAAGCAGCTCATCTTGGCGACGCTGAGTTTTTTAAAAATTAAAGGAAAAAAAAAAAAACAAAAAACTGTGTGTGTCCAGGAGCCAGCAGCGCCCACTAGGAGAGGGAGGCGGAAGCCTGGAAAGCTTGGGGCCGGATTGAGGGACCATTCGGGTGGCCCTGGAGTGAAACCTTATACCGTCGGGGGCGGGGCAGGAGAGGGTGAGGGTGCAGATGCTGGAAATTTTCCTAAGCCAGCGTCCACGGTTCCTCAGTTTGGGGGGGGAGGCAGGGGGGGACGACGCGGAGAGCTTCTTTCCTCGAGGTGACACCCCCACCTCGGCAGGCGGGGTTCAAACGAACAAGGGATGGTTTTTTTCCTGCCATCCAAAAGACCGACATTGCCAATGAAAGAAAGAAATGTCTTCCCTGTCACCCTCCACTCCGAAATTCAAATTACGAAAAGCAGCACCTTGAAATTCAAATTACAAAAAGAAGCCCCAGCAAAACCCCTTTAGCGCGAGTGTGGGATTGAAGGGCCCAGATTTCCCAGGCAGAGGCCGACGGGAAGGGGGGGGAGAGCGAGCGAGCGAGAGGAGAGGGAGAGGCGGAGGCTTTTTCCTGCACGGCCCCATCCCCCACCCCGTTACCCGAGTTCCGGGAAGGTGGAGGGGTTCGGGGGGCTGTCGAGGGGCTCCCGAGCCCCCAGGCCCCCGGAGAGCGGGCACCCCTCCACCCCGCGCCGCTCCCGCCCGCGCCCAGCCCCGCCCCCGTTCTCCAGGCGGCGAGAAGGAAAGGGGGAGGGGAGCGAACGCCAGGCGGTTCCGCCGCCGACCCCCGCACCCGCCGCCCCCAGCCCCGCAGAGCTTCGCGGGTACCTGTCGGCGCCGAAAGGTCAGGATTTGGGCCCCTCAGAGGGGCCAGTCACAGGATTTCTCCACCACACACACACACCCCCTTCCTATTTACCTCCTTCTTCTTCTCGCCCTTCTCCGTGGCCGCGGTGGCTTCGGTGGCCGCGGCGGCCGCTCCCTCCTCCTGAGAGGTGGACGGCCCCGGCTGCTCGTCCTCTATGACCACGATAGTGGCGGTCGCATCCGCGGCTGCCACGGTGGCTGCCACTGCGGCGGTGTCCTGCTCCATGCCGTGGGAGCGGGAACGAAGAGGGGGACGAGGCAGGGGACGAGGGCTCCTGGGCGGCGGCAGTGGCTGCACTGGAGAGAGCTAGATGGAGCAGGGGTGGGGAATCACTCCGCTTCCA